ACACCGATTGACAACGAGTTTCTAATGATCTAAAGGATTAGATATGGCAGTCGATTGTGGTATGTTTATTCAACTATTTCGTAAAATTTGTTAACCGATCATTTAATTGAAATTCAATGTATTCATACTAATTGTGTTAACATATTTAGGAACGGTTCGACGTCCCAATTGACTATAAAAAGATTGTATTGCAATCTGCTAAAAAAATGTTCAAAGACTTTAAAAGCAAATTCATAACCCAATATATTTTATCGCTGGCTGGTGAAGGTGATGTATTAGTTGTTCTACCTGCAGCATATGTAGATGTGATCAATGTTGAAAATTGGATAAATTTTGTACAATATTGGCTTTCAAAAGATTTCTCAATACGCAAACTCATTACCAAAAAAATTATTTGTAAGTCTTTATACAATATAGCCTTTGATCTTCATATGTGATTGACATAATTTCTTGATTTTGTAGAAAATCAAATAATAGTAACGGGACATTCAGGCCAAACAACAAGATCATCATCGAACAACGAGAAAGGGATATGCAAATGTGAAGTATGAGCTTGTATGTATTCGTACACTTGTTTTATACTTATTAATGAATATTTATGAACATTCATTTTATACATTTTGATTCTTTTATTATAGTAATTTAATAAGAATTAGCAAGCTCTAGCATTGAAGTTTTCATATGGGATGTCTGGAAACAAAGACATCTACGGAAAGATGGATCTTTTGCAGATGAAGTAATCGAGAAAATGGTAAAAAAGATTGTATGTATAACTACTTTTTTAATATAATGTATGGTTGGCATTGTGGTTGTATGCATGAGTGTATACTAGCTTGTATAGATTTATTGTACAGCCCATCTTATTATTGTCCTTCAAGATGATTATGCTGCCAAAGTCTAATCTGGTGAATTGGTAACCCAGTATGGTGAATATCCTTCGTCTTTAGCATTAAGTGCTAATGAAAGGCCCGGTCAAGTTTGTAAAGTTGGTAAATTTATCTTGCCATCAAAGTTTTTTGGTAATCAACAAAAAACTCCGCGAATGAGAAATGCACAATATGAAGCAATCATTAAGCAACAACAGCAACGAATTGATGACCAGGAGCAATGCCTCAAGAGCAACAGCAAAACTTGTGCTTTGGAGTCCATGTTGGCAGCAATACAACATAACATGCCAGTACACCGGTCTGACAGCATTGTCCCCTTAGGAAAAGCTTCCGTTGCAAGTAAAGAAACGAACCCATCTTCCGCTACCACCTAAGAAGTATGATATTGTTTATATTTTAATATTAATTTGTTTATTATATTGATTGATTTGGTTTTAATACTTATATTTTATTAAATATTGTAGCAGGATGTTTGGACTCACAGTATGACCCTTGCTCAGGTTTTCATGGATGAGTTATCTAAATATTCGCTGGAACATTTTTTCAAAGGAAACTTCATAACCATTGAGTCAGAGGAATGGTTATTTGATAAACCATCATTTTCTTTCATTGGTGTGGAGAAGGTTAAAGATTTTTGTAAACTGGATAAATTATCAGCTGCTGAAATCGTTGCTTATATGGGGTTAGCTTATAAATATAAATATGCACATACAATATATAGTAATCTATATGATGTTGTAATACTAGCTAGCAGTGTTGATTGTTATCATGCAGCTTCCTATATAAAGAGCTCAAGAAAGACAGTTGATCAATAAGTTTAGATTTATTGACCCCAATTTTATTAGTGAGCAAAGTGGAATAGTCGCTTATCGTGCTAATCATGTAATCCTATGCATGAAAACACCGGCTGATTATTATTTGCTCTCGTATAATGCATAGTAAGTTATATTCCAACCTTATACTCCAACCTTACCCACAAATCTGATCTAATGTGTAATCTGAGTATATTATTATTATTATTTTGCAATCATCATTGGGTGCTTATTGTGATTGACACCAAATCCTTAACATCATCCTTACTTAATTCAGTTAATCTAACGGCGATGCCTAACACTGATATTCAAACTTTTATAAAGAGGTATTACATTTTATTATAATATATATCTTTTATTTCTTCATAAGTAATTTTATTTATTATTAAGTAATCTTTTTTCTTTTTAATTTAGGGTAATATCTGCATTCAATAAGAAGATAAAGAAACCGAAATGGGTGTCATTACTGGTTAATGTGAAATATATTCTTTTATGCTGAGTTTGTGTAGATAAATATTTTCTAAACCCACTCAATTTAATTTTCAGGTACTTCATCATTTGGTATTACTGAATGTGGATATTATGTCATTCGTTTTATGCATGAGATAGTGTTACATGATTTTATGATCACACCATTCAAGGTTAGTATAAATTTTATAAACTTGTTATATCTTCAAAAAAATAAAAAGGTACATTATGTTCTCATTTCTTAGCATTTACTTTTGATATTTTTTTTTAGTGGGAGAGTAAAGAAAACTTTACATAAGAGGAACTAGATGAAATCTATAAAGAATAGTGTGATTATGTATTATCATTTATCAATGTCGATAAACCTTCAGGTTAGACATTGTTGGTTGGATGTAAATATATAAGGAACAAAATGTTATAATGTTTTAAACATGCCATGTTGAATGTAAACTTTAAGTTTGTACATTGGGGTATTGGTTTAATATTATTGTTATACTTAATATGAATACAATGTGTACTTAATAAATGATTGAGTACAATTATTTTAGAAAAGTATATTAATATAACAACGTTATCAGTTTTAATTTCGGATGTGTGGTCAATTTATTAAAATACAACAATTTTTATTATGTAATCTCTAAAATATAATTCGTAGTATCACATATAAAAATCAAATGTTTTTTGGGCATTAATATACAATTGACAACAAACATTTTTTGGACATAAATCTATAACTGACTTGACATATACAATATCAAATATGTTTCTTTGATGGGATTATTGAAGGTATTTTTAGCAAGAAAATGCCTTGAATTATCCCTAACAAAAAATTTTGAAGGCGTTTTTAACCAAAACTGCCCTCAATAATCACCCCAAAAATTAATTATGTGGAATATTAAAGGCATTTTGAAAAAAAAAATGGCTTCAAGAATCCATCACGCCTTTTTTGTATGGATTATTGAAGGTGTTTTAAAAAAACACATTCAATAATACCAACTAAAAATTAATCGAATGGATTATGAGGGGCGTTTTCCTACAGGTAACGCCTTGAATAATCCCTAACAAAATGTTATTGAAGGCGTTTTTGGATATAACTGCCTTCAATAATCCGACCATCAAAATTTATCATATGAAATATTAATAGCATTTTTTATCAAAACCATCTTCAATAATTTCACCAAAAATTTATTGTGTGAAATATTAAAGGCGTTTTGGGCAAAAAATGCCTTGAAGAATCCGTCGAGTCTTTTTTCTATAAATTATTGAAGGCATTTTACAAAAATACCTTCAATAATACCAATTAAAAATTAATCGAATGGATTATGAAGAGCGTTTTCCTACGGGTAATGCCTGAATAATTCCTAACAAAATTTTATTGAAAGCATTTTTGGATATAACCGCTTTCAATAATTCGACCATTAAATTTTATCGTCTGAAATATTAAAGGCATTTTGAGTGAAAAACGCTTTCAAGCATCCATTCAAACTTTAGTCTATGGATTATTATGGCATTTTTGACAAAAATCGCCTTTAATAATCATAACAAAAATTTATTGATTGGAGTATAGAAGGCGAATTCGACCAAAAACGCCTTTAAGAATCAGCTCCATATTTTTTCTATAGATTATTAAAGGCATTTTTCGCAGAAAAACGCCTTCAATATTCTCTGCAAAATTTTTTAAAATAATTGGTGAAAGTGTTTTTGCCAAGAAAACGTCTACGATAATCAATTACAAATAATCTCTGTAAAAACTCAAAAAGGCTAAAGAGAGGGATCGAACTTATAATCTTATGGTTATCGTCCATACGATCCAAACATTTTGATATGATATTTATTGAATACATTTTTTTAACAAAAACGACCTCAATAAGCTTGTGAAATTTTTTGATCCAATTATTAAAGGTGTTTCTTGTAGAAAACGCCTTCAATAATCTCATACAATTTTTTATTAGGTGATTATTAAATGCGTTGTCTATCAAAAACACACTTTTAGTATTCACTGAAATTTTTAAAGTATGATTATTCAAGGCGTTTCAGTTAAGAAACGTCGCTGATCTCAAGTCTTGAGTGACGTTTATAAGTAACAACGCCGCTATTTGAATATTTAGTAGCGTTTTGATAATAAATGTTTTAAGTTTTATAAAAATACGAAAGCTAACGGCATTTATAAGTAAATGACCGCTACAAAACTGTCACTAATACACTATTTTCTTATAGTGTAATACGAAGAAAGCAGAGACAAAACAAGTTCATAAAGAAATTTACAACAGTGGGCAGATTGATTTACGTCTGATATAAAAACTTACCATGAAAATTTGGTTTAGCCCATATCTAAAGGCTCTTACTCAACATCCACCAGTCCACCCTCATGAAAATGCAAATTCCCAACTTTTATCACTGGATTTGGCTTTAAACAAAGGCTTTTTATTGTTTATTATATATAAGGTTTGAGAGCAAATTTTGAGATATGCTTCAGACGATATTATTGAGGAAAAGACTGATTTACCTGCTGATGCATGGGGAAGAATAAACCACCTATTTCTCTAGCTCCTCCAGGAAGCTGAACATTGTTAGGCACAACATACAAGACAGGAATAAGGTTCAGATAAATTTAACTGCAAGAGATGAAGGATTCCTTACTTACACTTGACAAATGAGCTAACAAGCTATTCCCCAATCTACCTGTTTCCATATACTCTTTCCCTCCTAATATTGTGTATAAATATATCATTGTTGAATCTACTAATTGTCCCAAGTTTCATTTAAGTCTCTGCAACATGGGCAATTCCATGAGTAATTTCTTGGGAAGAGGTATGTTATCTTGTTTCTCATGCTGATTTTTATGGAAAAGGAAAAATGAAAAACACCCCATTCATTTTCCATGCCGGCCTGAACTTTTTTTTTTCTTTTTTGTGTATGATAGGGGTGCCATCTACAAAGATGGTAAGCTTTGTGTTTAAATCACTTCATGAACAGTTCACAGAATCGGAAATCAAAGACTTCGACGATTTCCATGCTGCTATCCTTGAGATCTTGAAGTAAGAATTCCTAATTCATCAACAATTTTGTAGAATTGAAGTCATAGTAAAAAATTTTTGGTTTGCCTATATAGATGTTGCATAAATTCATAACTATCGAGTACCATTGATTATTTCATTATATCGATTTTTTTCAATAAAGAACTGTAAAATGTCTCAAACTTAAAATTGATTGAAGCTTTTTACAACCAATAAAGGGTTATGCTTCTTTCATCAGATTGATGAATAAAATTTTTCTCATATGTGGTTGGCTGAATTTCCAATTTTTCATTTTTCTCAGCCAGAACAAATAGCTAGAAGCAAGAAAATATAAGATATTGATCTCACCAAAAACCAATGTGTAGCCCACTCAACCAAAGAAGATAGGAAAAAAAAAACTACCCAAAAAAGAGAGAAATATACAATAGGTAACCTACAGCTAAAACAAATAATCACACCAGAACAAAGATACCATCATACCCACAAAGAGAAAACAAGCTAAAAATTTAGGGTAGGAGTAGGGAAAGGCATTGTCAAATGCCAATTATCTCTATTTGTTTTTGGTAAATTTTTATTATTTGATGAGATCTGAATATTAGTTTTGACAATCTTCCATTGATTGTAGTGTTATTAACTCAGCATTGCCTGGTAAACATTGTGATACTCCTGCTCGTAGTGAAGTAGAGGTCAGTCTATTTTGACTTGAAATTTCATGTACTATCTCTCCTCAACTTATCTTGTAATATCAATAACATCAAAATTGTTGATGCAGAAATGTTTTGAAGAATGGAAAAACGAACAAGAGCCAGCTAAAAAGAAGGAAGTGTTTATTCAATTTATTAAGAAAATAAAGCTCAGCAAGCTGGATAACACTACTATTATGACTGGAATAATAACCCCTCCAGCAGCCATGGCGGCTAAGAAAGCAGGAGAAATTTTGCCTCAACTGAGTTTGATTAAGGGTATTCCTGATGTTGTTTTTGTTCCATCAGTGACCGTGATTGCCCTTGTCATTTCCAAACTCTCTAGAAGGCTTTACATGCGAAGCGTGAAGTCCCAAACCAGCCAATCCAGGTCTTTTGATGGGGATAAGATCAAAGACCATGAACCCCCATCAAAGGGCCTTGAACCCCCATCAAAAGCGCCTGTGGCAGAGGAAATCACACCTCCTTGTCCTCCAAATTGAAAAAAAAAAAAAAAAAAAAGAAGAAACTTGTGATTCTTCCAGTCAAGCTCATATAACAATATAAAAAATGTTGATTTCCCAGGTTTTATACTATAAATTTGTAATTTACATCAGTTGGCACCCTGAACAATAGCATGCATGTAGGCGTAATGTTATCCAATAAGTCAACTATTGGCTGAAAAGAGCTTTTCATTTCAAAAAGCGTCTTGATTGCCTCAGATGCTGACGAAGCTTGTTTTCACATAAATAAATATATATAAATCTAATGATTTTTTTTCTACAGTAAAATACTATAGCAGCAGCGCAGTTTTCTTCGTGCGCTGCTAAATTTTTTGGCCAGGGATTTCAGTTGAGAATCTTTTACCAACCAAAGGGGGTTTGGCAAACACCGTACATTTTGACATTTTTTGACTTTGTAGTCACAGACTACAGAATCCATCGATTAAACTCAGTACGACAGAAATCCTTGAATCTCATGATCCAAAGGTACATTCTTTTTCTACTGCTCCTTAAAACCAGCAAACAATTTGCATTTCATCTCATTTTCAAACTTCATTGGAATTTTTTTTTCCTTATAAAATCTCAGTGGTATATTATACAATTAATCCTTTCTTGTTTAAAACTTTACCTTTCACTCCTCAGATCTAAACGTGAAATTTTAAAATTGGATTTTCAATTCCTAATCAATAACAAATTGATTGAGAGACTGGGGATTGGCACATCTGATTGAGAGACTGGGGATTGGCACATCACCAAAATCAAGTAATATTCCCATACAGACCGAAAGCCATACTTTGAATATCGCAGAGCATCTAAACTGAACAAGTATGTTCCAATCAGGGTGAGAAGTGCATGTACAGATCATCCTTGAAACATGAAACAAAGAAAGTGGAAAACACTGAGCATTTACAGAAACAAGATCCTAACTTAATAAATTTAGCTAACCTGAGGATCTTCGACTCCACCTACCACCGCCTGATTTTCTTTTCCCTCTTTTCCTTTTGTTATTAGGGCCCTTTGACTTGGAAGTTAGAGATGACTTCACATTTGGTTGAACAGAAGGGTTCGTAGGAAGGTCATCTCCAAAAGCAAGAACAGTAGATACGGGCTTAGGCTTTTTAACTAGTATCTGCAGCTCTCCTTCCTTCTGAGTTAAACCACTTTGAAAATTGCGCAACTCTTCCTTGGCAGCCTGGTTATGTATCAAAATATCATCCTCAGTCTGCAGATATAATGAAGGTCAGTTGCATTGTAAACTGAAAACAAGATGGTCGAAATGCATATTTGGAATCTAATACTAGCTAATATTCACAACATCTTTCATAAAACAATTAAAAAAGAATCCTGATTACAGAAAAACAGAGATCATAGAATAGTGTGAAATATTAAGCAAACAAGTAAAGAGGGAATAACAAGAAGAAAAAGGAAAGGCAAGAAGGAGAACATTTTTCTCATTTCATATTAGATATGCAAGCGAAAAACCTTTTTTCCTAGTGATTAGTCATAGTTAAACAAAACTAACATTTTAGCAGGATCACCATTAGCAGAAGCAAAGAATAAAACCAAAATCTAATTACAAGTAAATCCTTTGTTATTGTCTGCTATGGCCATAAGCAATAGCCAAGGATTAAAGTGTAAAACTTAAAAGAAGAGAAGAATTGTTAGCAATAGAAAATGATAGAGAAGAAAAAACTTAAAAGACAAAGAGGAATAAAATGTCAAAAAAGGAGAACTCACATTTTCATAAGAAATCCCTGCAAGATGCTGACCTGTGCCCTCAATCATATCATGGAAAGGTGTCACCTCTCCATGACTTGAAACTGCAGTTCCAAGCATAAAAATATCTCCCATGTTACACTCAGATAGATGCTGGGATGAAGTATATTGAGATCTAATTGGGATTCTATCTCCACTCACCAGGTAATGCATCGCATGGCACAACTGAACTCAACATATTAATGGAAGAGAACTTTCAAGGAGTTTCATTTAACACCTTGTCAACTCGGCTCTTTAGTTTGCGAACTTGTGACTGAACCAGATCAATCTTTCTAAGGATCTGTTCTGACCAAGCATCACGGTCTCTGAATTCAAGACATGACAATCCATTATTAAACCCAAAGTCATCATTACTGTTGACCGCTTTGGTTCCTGCAGAAATTATCACATAAGAAAATGAAGAAAATCGCAAGCAGTGGAGGGAGAAAGTCAATTTTTTCAAACACATATCAAACAGGGTTATTTGTTGAACCATACTCTATTACCTACAAGCTACACAATCACCAAATCTGAGTCAAATATAATTGTTCTTACCTAAATTACCATTATCATCATCCAGAGCATCAGTAGCAACAACAGATTTCTTACTTTCTGGGAGCAAAGAAAATATACTTATTAGATTTGGACTTAGTGAATATATATTCCATAATGAATGTTCATGAATTTCATACCATAATATGAGAAGAGGTTATGATGTGACATGTAAAACGCTAAATCAGCAGTATCTTCAACTCGTTTTCTTTTCCTCCTCTTCATTACTTTCTTTCTTTGAATTTGACAAGGAAAAGGTTGTGACTTCACATCAAGCCCTTCAAATGCGAACTTTTCATATTCAAACTTCTTTCTCTGATCATATTCCACAACTTCTCTATCATACGTCAATGCCTGAGACTTAAATTCCTTAAGCTGCAGCTCTAACCATTTACATCGCCACATGAGGGGACGTATAAACCTCCTCCAATGATCCATCAACTTTCTCTTCCTGGAAAATTTAGGAAAAAGAAAAACAAACTAAATAATGCAACATGTAATGGGACATCAAATTTAGCAAAAAATATAAACTTCATAAAATGGTAAGATAGTAACAGAGTTTATTCTTTACCAGTACTTTGCCAGCCAAAACAGTAGAAAAGATAATTCTATCAGCAAGCATCAATATGATTTTAATTAGTCAATTTGTGGTCAAATTTTAAAAATATCAGTAGAATAATAACCAAATGAGACCTGAAAATTATTCCAAATAAAAATTGTTCTTCACATATAACCTCAGCAATCAAATTCCTAAAAGTGAAACTAGATTTTCAAAAAACAGGGCAGAAACCTTAATAGTTGGCAAAGCAGAGGAAGGATTAAGGATCAATCATCATTCATCACCACCCAGTCTACACAGATAAGTTTATAAACTAAAACAAAAATAAAATAGTTCAAACTACAAAAAGAATACCTCATGTGAAACAATCCATCAAACACTGATCCCAACGGACTTCCACCACATAATGCCGATTCAACTTCAGCATCACTTATCGCTGAATCATTCTCACACCCAGACACTGTGCCACCAAAAGAACTCGATTTCTCAGTGACATCCTGACATTCAGCAACAGCCAACCTATCCACGCCAAAATTGTGCATTCAGTTATGTTAATCTCCATATCCTCATTTCCTTCGGGTATCTTCACTCGTCCTACTCCATACAATGTTTCTTCACCAAAGTTTTTGTCCTCACAATTACTTACACAAAGCATACGCGTATCTTTGGAATCTTGGGGCAAGCTTCCATTTTCACTATTGTTCGAAATCACTTCCATCATTGTTTTGGACTTGCCTTTTGCTCAAGTCAGGGCCCATACTAATTACCATAAAGACTCCTTCAATTGATCATTAAAAGCCAGTTAATTACTAACTTCTGCAAAACATTACCATTTTAACGAAGAAAATTAATTATAAAAATAAACCGAAATAAGAAAATGGGTTATAGATGTTTTTTATAACCTTTGCTTAAAAGGTAAATATTCATCAAAGTTGCATAACATAAACAAGCTAATAATAAAAGGAAAAAATAAACAGTTTTTTCAACAAATGAAAGTTTAGAACAAAACCGAAGAAAAAAATATACTTTCGGTCAAAGGAGACAAGGAAAAATCGAACACTGCAGAAAAATGTTAAAACACTCTCATAAAAGAAATGAAAAAATTTACAAATTGAAATCCAAATAAATTGCAAAACCCTAAACCTCAGACCAGGGAACAAGAGTAGAGGAAAAGAAGAACCTGTCATTCGAGTCTTTCCATCTTGAACTTAGTGGTGGACGAGAAAGCCAAGGTCACTCGCGGAAGAATGTTAGCGCCACCGATGACGAATATTCCTCTCTCGAATTTTTTTTTGTTTGAAATTATCGAGGGTTTTGAAAATTGAAATCCCGAAAAAATATAATAAGAGCTAAATTTAATAACTCTAGTATTTGAACCATGAAAATATTAAAATTTATATATTTTTTTTATATTTTATTTAAAAACTATATTTTATAATTTATATTATTAAAAAATATATAATATATTTTTTTAATTATATTAAATTTATACATAATTATTATTATAATTTAAATTATATTATTTTTATATATTATTATTGTATCATGTTCTATCATGTACTATAAATTACCAAATTTGTCTTTTATTTTTTTGATCTAATGGTAAAGAAAACTTAAAAAAAACATTAAAATTTAGGTTCAACCAAATCTCTTCCTTCCTCTTTTCATGTAAAAGGGATTGTCTTCTTTTGAAAAAAAAAAAAAGAAAATAATTCGAGAGTGAAGATTACATGTGTAATTGAGCTGAGTCGAGCCAATATAATAAGAAGTTCGAGCTTGAATTTAACTCTCAACTTGCTATTCGATACTCGATTCTAATTCGATCAAATTTTATTTTTTTAATTTGAGTTTGATTCATAATCAAAATTAAGCTATTTGAACTCGTTCGATTAAGCTCGATTAATATTTAAAAATAAGCTTGATTTTTATATTCGATAAGAATTCGATTATTTATACTTAATAAGAGCTCGATTATTTATATTCAAGTTTGAATTCGATATATTTTATTAATTAAAATATAAAAATTTAAATATAAAAATTTGATTAAGCTGACGAACTACTTGAGTAAAGTATAAAAATATTCGAATTCGATTCGATCGATAAATTAAATTATTCAAACTCGAGTTCGATTCAATAATAATTAAATCGAATTCAAATTTTATTCGAATCGAACGTGAATAATTTATGAATATTAATGTATCATTTATACTTTTAATGAAGATAAAAGAGGAATGGACGACTGCCAATAGCAAATATTTGCTTTCTTTTTGTTTTTATTGTTATTGAACGAAATATTGGCTTCGCTAAAAAAGATTAAAGAAAGGAGGCTGCACCGCCGAAATTTATTTATACATCACTCAAATTTTCTTTTAAAAGTACAAACATATCAAATATTAAATTTATCTTTTAATAAATTACACTTTTTCTTCCGTACATCCCATACTTATTTTTATTTTCTTTTTTACTGCTCACGATAATAAATTTTTAAGAAATTTTAAGATTTTTTAAAAATAAATTTTAAAAAAATTAAAAATTTTCTGCAAAATGAATTTTTGAAAGGAAAAATAGAAAGTGAGAAATACAGTGTACTCAGTAAAAATAAAAAATTTAATGTTAAATTTGAAATATATTTAATAATAAGATGTATAACCAAAAAAAAAATGTAAACAGAATTGCCCGTAAATAAATGATAGATTCCTGTTTTCGGGCCTAAGCCCTACGTAATTCACGTGTCTGCAATTTGGGCTGTTTGGGCCCACTGCTTTCAGTCCTTTTTCTTTTTTATAAAATAAAATCATTTTCTTTTATCAAGTTGAGCTAATACTAGTAAGTATTATAATATTGTAATTAAGGAAACTAGAAAAACAAAAGGAAAGATTAACTTCCAGGTTAAACATTGTAAAAATACATAATAAAAAAGAAACAATTAAAATCATACTGCTCTTCCACCACCTTAACAACATGAATAAAGGGGTGTTATCAAAATGATAATCAGATCAAAGAAAAAGAATGGATTTCGACTGCTGAGCTGATTGGTCAAGACAATTTTCTAATGAATGAGCAAACAAAAATGGAACTACTGGGTTCTCAAAATCATGGGGAATACATCATTAAAAGCCAGCTCTTAGTTGTATCTGAAAAAGAGTGAGTCGAAAAAAGAAGCATGGAACAACAATCAGGATACAGATTATTCATCGGTTCTCATCCCCCCAAGCTAACTGCAAACACCAGACAGACTCTCATGTATGAAACTCCTTTCCCACATTCATGATTTCACGAGGACCCAATCAAATCCTCCACAAATTAATTTTCTTTACTCTACAACAAGCCCTGTAAATCCTAGCAGTAAAACCTTCACGTGCATTATTTGCACCCATCAAATGTACACAAACAGTATAGAACCAAATCCTTGGATGGTAATGAAGGTTGTTTTCCTACTTTCAGCCTCTTCCAGCATCACCATGTCGTTGGTTTCTGAAGTAGCTCAGAAGTGCCTGTGCCTGCAATCAACAGAAGCTTATGATAATTTTCCAGAATGGTAAAAGAAAGGAGGTGATATAAAAAATAACAGTAGAAGCAGTATACCTTCTCTTTAGCTCTTGGGGTGCCAAGACTGGGACAAGGCCACTAGTGGTGGCACAGCTCCTTCTTGGAGCGACATACTGCAAAACCTACCACGGGTTGTGCAGAGCTGTAAAAGAGCAGCGGCAGTGTTTTCCTTTCCTCTCACTGAACCCAACTCAACAACCTCAACCAGCACGCGAATCCCACCCTCATGCCCAATTGCAGTCCTCCCTTCAGAAAATGTAGCAAGATTTGCCAAAACAGCAACTACCTTAACCAACCATTTCAGTTGCTGGGTCCATCAACTCCAAAAGGTGTCTTACAGCACCGGCTTGCACAATTTGGGCCTTGTTTTCATGAAATATTGACAGATTAAACAAGGCTGTAGCTGCATCTTTCTTTCCCCTAGAAGTACCATTCCCCAATAAATCAACAAGTGGCTTGATTGCTCCAGACCTTCCGATCTTGACTTTGTTATCCTCAATGACTGAAAGGCTGAAGAGAGTGGCAGCAGAGTTTTCTTTAGCTTCTAGACTTCCTGTCTCAAGGACATGAATCAGAGTTTCAATTGCATTAGCATTAGCAATAGCTGTTTTGTTGTTATCATTAATTGATAAGTTAAGAAGTGCTGTAACAGCATTTTCCTCAGTCATTGTATCTGGTGAATGAAGCAAATCAACTAACAAGCTAATGGCCCCACAGTTTGCTATTATAATCCAATTATCCATATTGTGCTTGGCAAGTAACCTGAGTTGAGCTGTGGCCTCTTTTTGAGTATCAAGTGAACTGCTCTTCAATTCCTCTACCAATTTCTTAACCTGGGTTTCAATGCCAAAAAGGTTAGCCCTATTCTCAAAACCATGAGAAGAAACTATCCTTGGAATGAATCTCTCTGATGGCCGGTGCCAGATTGTCTGGCTTCGAAATCGTGCATCCATTACTGAGAAGGGAACTCAGGTTCTCTCCGTGGAATGGCTGAGCTAGCTGTAGGCTGTGGGTCACAGTTCACCTCTCCAGAAACATCATTACTGTAGGCCCTAAGATGAGTTGACCCCTAAGAAGTCTCATTGGCATCCCCAACTGTTTCCCCAGGAAAATCTGAAATCGAAAGTGTACTAGTGGTTGAAACAGATCTTGTACGGTTCTGAGATGACTGTCCAGCATTATTAGAAAGTAACACAGTGGGTTCACCAACTGAATCGCTATGCCTTTGTTCCAAGTTTGACCTGTCTTCAGCACTATTTAATGATATTCTTGCAAGCTCCAGACCCTCTCCGTTTTCAGCTATACTTGTCAAGGAACCCTGTGAGGTAGAACGGGGATAGAGTGGGGAGGTTCCCTCCCAATGAAGTCCACTGGATGTGCTTAGGTTCTTACCAGATTGACCTGTAGACTGTGACTCAGGTGACATGGGTTGGCAGCTTTTGGAATGAGGAGAACTATTTGAATCCCTTGGCAAGCCAGACTCTGCATGCACAAGAAAGATTTTAGACTCAAGCTTTTAGACTCTGCTTAGTTTAAATTCATGGACTTCATGGGATCAGGCAAATTCACGTTGTTTGACTCACACCAGCTTGCAATTAGTGCCTTTACGGTGTAATTAGGTATAAGATTGGTACGAGCCAAACTCTGCCGTGTCTTGGGGCAGACAGAAAGCCCAAGTTCATTCCATTTCTTGATGAAAGCCCGCTCAAAAGTTTGTCCTAATGCCACAATCACTGGATCAGTCATCAGCTCTAGGGAAAGGGGACAGCAGAAATCAGCAGGTATGGGAACCAGGCTACGGGTCTGAGGTTGTTTTATTAACACAAGCCGGTCATGCATGCGAGTTACAAGAGCAATTATTTTATCGATAAACTCAGCTTCTGCAGTTTTTTCAGCTTGTTCAGCATTCACCTTCAACTTTTCCAGGGCCACAGCCTCTATCAGAATCTCCTTGTTTGACCTTAAGCTCAAGCTCTCTGCAATTTTCAGTAGTATTCCGAGCTTGGTCCAACACTATCTACTTGATAACATATGGCTTCCCTAATGACAGATGATGTTTGTTCATATACTGCATGCTTAATTTTCTGCAAGCAGTGCTGCACAATAATGCCAATAGTTAGACATCCTGAAATGTGGAATCCCCTTTAGGATTCTTTAAACTCAGAAATCAAATCAAAAGGAAAGCTATTTATTTTCTCACATCTCAAAAGTGTATAGTTAGAAGCCATTTACTATCCCATAGGCAATTTTTTTTGGTAATCATTGTGAGAATATGGTAATTATGCTTTATTTATAAAATATAAACACAAGATGAAAAGTACAAGCTTCAATTAACTTTGGGTCATAAATTACCTCAAGAGATGCTGAACTCAATTCATCAGGCAGATGCTGATGGGAAGACTTCAAGAACTGGAATATATCCAGGCTAAAATTTCGAATCTTTGATATTAATGACTCAACTTGCAGAACCTAGACATTAAGCAGAAGAGAAGATGGTTATCCAAGTGCATTTAAATAAAGGCCCACACTAACTGACTAGTAATTGCTTATGAGAAATTTCTTTTCTTCAAAAATATTATTTTCTAAAAAGGTACTCATCTATAGCAATCCCACCTGAATATGAGCAAACACTCAAAAATCAGGACTTAGGCGCTAACAAATTACAAAAGCTATACATTCCAATTATTACTCTTACGACAAAAATGATAAAGCTCTAAGAACCATAAGAGAAAAGAGGAAAAAGAGGACATACATGAACCATATGGGCAGAACATATGTCTGACAAGCTATTG